AGATGAAGATGTATTCAGCTAGTTCACAGACAAAATATGGAAACTTCAGCTGAAATATTTTTCATAGCAACGTGATCAGAGGAGACCCTTCTATTCGAAAAAATTCACTACTTTCTACATAGAATTCTCAAAATGCATTTACACTCTGAAACAATTCTTGCAGTTTCTCCCGAGATTTAGTACACGGAACCCAATGAACTAGCCCTCCATTCTGCAAATTTGTTTCCGTCATTAACGAATAAGTTTGGTGGGGGGGTCCAAATCTGCGAGCGGGGGATCCATATCCGCTGGCGGATTTGGACCGGGGGTCCAAATCCGCGGGGGTCCGAATCCGCAGTGACACCGGGATGACGTATCGAGTCATTTGAAGTACTACCAGCTATCCCGCGAAAATTACAAGTTAATTTTGTTTCGTTCCGGTCATTTTGACCACGATGTGGAAAAAATATAACAGTTATTGGTATGTTCTAAACATCCGAACACTTAAAGAAACATTGGAAATGCGGTGAAAGTACTTGTTAACAACCACAGCAGAAGGGAAATATGAAGTAGTGAAAGAAAGCTAGACTGACTGGAGATGTTTTCGAAGTTTTCGGAATTAAAGTTGTAGTCGGATCACGTGGGTAATATATTTGCAATTTCTCGAGAGTGAAGGCTATTATTTAACTAAAGACTGATTCGTAAGTGCCTATCTAGGCTATCTGCACCAGTAGACAAAACCAGAGTTCTCTTGACAAAATCAAAGGACAAATTGTGTCATGACGAATTTTTGTCTCGATTTTTGCATCCGCTTAAAAATTCCAAAACTGTCAAACTTCGTCAGGGCTTGATCTGCTCATGAGACCAGCTGGCATAGTTTACCAATGGACTCAATCTCCAGTTTCAGGATTCATCTTACGTCGTTTCAAAGTTTTAAAATCCACGAGTTTCTCGACAAAAGAAAGTTGCCTTCCAGGTAAATTTTAGTGAGTTGAATGACAAGCTGGTGGCGGTTTTTACGACAAAAGGCGTTGAAAACTTAGTCTCCTTTCACTGCCTCACATTCTTCTTTTTGCTCTGGATGCTAAAAAATACTTTTACTACATTCCCAGTGTCCTCTCAGGCGTTCTAATATTTAGAAAATACCAATAACTGTTTTATTTTTTCCAAATCAGGGCTGAAAAATCCAAAGCCACTCCAATCTTTGCTTTCCATCAATCAAGTAAACATTTTAAATTATAAAATTCTCTTTAAAATGTAAAATTCTTCAGTCCATTTCAATAGCTTTCGATTCTAATCCCTTACACTAACTAATTTTGGTTCCAACTTGTAGAACCCGCGAAACAAGTCATATGACAAGGTGAAAAATTTGCACAACACGTCATGCATAACATTAAGCTGGGTTTGTCCAATTGATTTTGATGGACGCAAGGAAATGTCGAGATTGTCGCTCAAAACCGTTGTGGTCCATAAGAACGTCACATCATTAATGACGGGAACAAATTTGCAGAAAGGAGGGCTAGTTCATTGGGTTCCGTGTACTAATTCTTGGGAGAAACTGCAAGGATTGTTTCAGAGTGTAAGCGCGTTGTTTTGTAAATATAAACGCTGTAACCTATTTTTACTCGTTTTTGTGTCCTTTTAAGCAACGCAATATGTCTGTTATGATCTGAGTGCCAAATTTTATTCTTTAATTTTGATCTTTTCCACACTGTGCGTAGTTCATGACCTGATATTTCAACATAAATTATCGAGAAGGCGCCTTCCGATCACCTTTGTCTCCTTTGTTAGTCACGGAAGCGCGCAAGCGTTACGACCGATCATATTTCGGCAACGTTTTGGGACAACTCGGCACTTACCTCCATTCAGTTGCTATGAAAACCAAAAATCTTCAACGTAGAAGATGAACGAACGAAGTTTGAACGGACAAAAGGAGATATTTGTCAATTTTCAGAATCCTGCAAATGATCTTTGACCCGAGCGCAATTGAGCAAACACATGGATTTGCGTTGTTTTTAAGCAGTTGGTGGATGGAAGCTAGAGAGATACCCGCGGGTTTAAGGCAATCTGTGACCTCATTGGTGTATAAACTATGCACTGATATAATTTCAGCCCGATTAACGCCTACATTTTGAGAATTCTATCGTACAAAGTAGTGAATTTTTGATGCAAATTAAGGGCAAAGAGAAGGGTCTACTTTGCCGATCAAGTTGGTATGAAAAATACTTCAGCTTAAGTTTCCATATTTTGTCTGTGAACTAACTGAATACATCTCGTAACTTGTAGCAAGATAGAATTCCGTTAGCTACATTGTTGCAGTCGCTGCGTGCTGGACAAAATTTTTGAAATTTACACTTTCGATCGCTGTCCACAGGGGTGGTCCGGCCAAAAATCATTTTTGGCTTGTGGCGACACAAAAAAGGAGAATTCCAGAACAACTAAACCCTTTTCATGGGCAAAATTAAAAGAAAACTTTTTTCCGAAAGAGGACCGCTTAACGAGAGCGGCACTTAAATCGTCTCATTGTCAAAAAAACTTTTCTAGATGATGCATGCATGTATATTGTATTTCGCGTAGATTTGTTTTTAGATATAGCCTTGGGCTTTGAAATAACTGTCCTTTTCGCCATTATACCGATCGTTTAGAAAACGTTCAGCTTGGGATTTCCCCTTTTGGACTCTAAGTGAAAGCGAGATCTAAAGTAATGTTTATTTCGCAGTTACAACTTCCTCACGAACATTCAATGTTGACACTATTGCCATTCCTTTTCACCACGAGCAAAACAGTAGATTTTAAAACATATTGACGGAGTGAAACTTTTCAGTTCACACATTTAACATCATGCCGAACCCTCAGTATTCAGAACGGCTTTGTTAAAGCAAATGCATGACGCCTTTTGAGAATAAGTTCAAGTGAAATTTCAATTCTAGCTATTTCAACCGAGTATACCTCGGGAGTACTAAAGGTTCATGATCGTTTGTTTTAACAGCGCCATTTAGTTTCGTTGAAGTCACCGTTTTGTCTGACTAAAGTTTAGTGAGTGTGAGTTTTATTTACATGAAAAGTTTTTGTCTTGATATCGTAATTCCAATTAACAAGACATTAATACAAATAGGCGTGGGAAAACCTGAAACAGTAATCAATAGTAATTTTAAAAATAAAGTATTGCTCTCGCCCCCCGTCATAACAACATCGACTTCCCACTGAATTTAAACAAAAGACGATGTAAGGATCGGAAGGGGTTATTTTAATAATTCTAAGCTTTTTCTTTTTTTTTTCCACAGATCGTTTGTTGTTGTTGTTTTTTCTTGGCTGAGAAAGTTAACTATCAGGCATGCAACAGTGCATGTTTTGAATTAGAAAACAACAGCTTTAAAAAATTTGTGAGCTCAATGTCAAAACAAGTTATTTTTTCTCATACGATCAGTCAGTATCAAATATCTCTCCTTGCTCATCGTGTAAAATCAGGTATAATCCGCAGCTACGTAATCTACACGAGAATGATTTTTTTTTATTAACAAGCAAGTGACTATGTGATGGAAAGAACCTCCCAGATAATCTATGAATGATTTTCTAAATCACTTCTGCTGTGCGCAGTCCGAACATTCTTGCTAAAAGTCTGCCATTATCGTGCTACGCTCAATTATACACCTAAATCTTAAATAACCCAACGATCATCAAACCCTGAGTTTAAGTATCACAAGATAGGGCGTCTATGAGGATTGTTACTTAACAACATGCTCTCGACTAGAGTAAAAAATTGTAGATGACGGAAAAGAGAAATACGTGGTCTCATTAAAGAAACAGGGAAGGAAGAAGCCTTAGAATAAATAGCGAAAAAGAAAAGAGTAAACAATAGAGAGGTAGAGAGAAAAAAATGGGCATTGAGACTCTCTTTACATTAGCCTCAGGTGCTGTGCATGTCATGTGAAAGAAAGGTGATCAGTAATTATTAGCCGAGATATGTAAAAAACATTGAGAAACATGAACATGGCTTTGGCAAAAGTCACGCGATGTTTACGCTTCTTATTTTCTCTGAAGTGTATTATCACCTGTGCAACAACAGATGTGGAGGCGTGAATGGACGCCTAAATTGTCAGACCGAATCGAAAATATCAGCTGCTGATAAAATGGGGGGAGGAAAATTAAACCCCACAATAAAAAAATTTTCTTTCGCAAATATTATAGAATACTTCAAAGAAACTTTTTTTTTTAATTTTTTAATTTTTTTTTTATGAAAGCGCGAATGGGAGGCCAGTTAAAAAGAGGCCAAAAGGTTCAGTTATGTATATGCTTGCTTGAATATGGGTTTTTATCACTTTATTAATTAGGAGAAGTTTTACATTTAAATTCGTTATAATGAAATGCTTACGCTTAATTTTTTTTAACATGCAAATGATTCTCAGATCATCCACACTAAAGGCAAGAGCTACATTATTAACAAAAATTTATGACCTTGCAATAAGAAACCATCAAACGAAGAGAACAGATATATCGCAATATGAGCAAATGGTTCATGTGGTTAAGTGTGTGGTACTTAGATCTTAATTGAACACTCCACAGTGTTCCCTGTGTGCATACCTAATGATTATCCTGGATATTTTCTTAGTAAGGATTTAAATACATAGATACATATATATATATATATATATACATAGATATAAAATAGGCTCCTGATGGTGCTCAATCTTTTCTGCTGTAGGAGATAGTGCGTATGCTACTTGAATAGTTCTGAAGAGAACTGTCTCTGCAGGAGCCCGTCATCGTTTGCATTTGGTAGTTGTCTTGCAAACTTGTTTTCTGCGACCGAGGCCATTACAGTGAAAACATTGCCTGAGACCGTTTCGGTAGTTCTCGCTAAAAATGAAACAAATGCAGGGATTAACTGCACTCCACGAATGCAGCAGAAAGACAGAAATGAATGGAATAACTGTCTGAAATGCACAAATGGGTGGCGATTCCCAATTCCACAGAAAAATTGTAAGAAACAAATAGATAAGCAGGGGGGTCGTGCAGGAAACGAAGGAAATCATAATGGCCATTGCCAACCGGACAATTTTCCTCAGTTGCTGATCTCGATGGTTCTGGCGACAAGACAGTTTCTCTCTAGTTTTTTGGTTCTTTTTCCTTATTGTCCACGCGATAATGCTATACACACCGGCCAGGACACAAATGGGAATGGGGATGAAAGTGATAAAAGTTGCCGTAACAAATCTTCTGTGCGTTTTCATGTGGTCGAATGCCGGTCCCCAATTCAACTTACAATACGTTTCATTTTCGTCGAGGATCAGTTTGAAACTGTAAAAATAAGGTGCGTGGACGGCGATGGCGACAAACCACGTGCTTAAAATGCTTATCAATCGTACTTTTGAGGAGATAAGTTTGGCCTTCAGCGGAAAGACGACAGCGATGAGCCTGTCTATGGAGATCAAGAGAAGGCTTCCGATGGAAATTACGAGAGAAACATCAGGCAGAAAATAGACAAGTTTGCATAGAATGTTTCCCAGCAGCAACGGACGATCAACTTTCCAGGAACTCGATCCTGAAATGATCTCAACGATCTTCACAGTCATGACGGTCAAAGGGTTGAAGAGGTCGGATATAGCCATATTGAAAACGAAGTAGTTGATGGATCTTCGTAACTGCTTGTTTTTGTAAATGACCACAAGAAGAAAGATATTTCCGAAAAACGAAACCAGGAAAATAAATATATAAGCCAGAGCTTTAGCTGTAATCTCTATAGCGGAGTCGGCTGCTATTTCACAAGCTTGGTCGGAATTACTCGAGGCTGCATGGCTGGTTGCCTGTGTGCTGCTCTTGGAGAAATGCCTCACGGTTGTGTTAACAATCATTATCTCCCTTGATAATCGTCAATCCACGAGTGAGCTATCCAAAGGTTATATTTTGGATGGTTTATTTTAACAGCAACACTGAACTTCGTTGTAGTCATTGTTTTGTTCGACCAAAGTGTTAAGGATGGGTCCAATTTATCTGAAAAGTCATTGTTTTGAAGTTAATTTCAATAGATGGATACAAATAAGTGTGGGTGAAGATGACAAGGTAATCAATATTGACATCAAAAGTGACCTACCCGCTAAAGGAACGACTTGCATTGGCCATTTCTATTAAAAGTTAATAACGGTTCTTTCACTTATTTGCGATAATTTTGGAACTGGAAGGGGTTTAAAGGCAAAAATGTTGTCCCACGACATAACGATATCGACTTGCCATTAAAATAACACAAAAGCAGATGTAAGGGAATTAAATGGAAAAACTAATTGAAGACTATTAAAATATAGTTTGCAAAGGAGGCTGTGTTTTTCTCAGGTATTATTCATCAATTGTTTTGATACTCCTCAGAAGAATCAAGAGAATTACAAGTTATGTTCATTGCTTTTTTTGAAGTTTGAGAAAGTTTGAGTCTGAATATCGGTTGTAAAAACAACTAAAAAATACACATAACAATAATTTTAAAAATGTCCTGTTCGATGTCCTCCACTTTAATTTCTTTGGTTTGAAAATTCTACCGAGGTAGAGACATTTGAATGAAAAGGCGGTCGCATAGGGCCATTGTAGGCGCAATTATTTTAAGTAAAACTTACTTGCGGGAATTCATTTCGTGGCCTTGGTCTTAGTTAATGTACAGGTGTTATTTATGAAACCAATGACTAAACGAGGCGGTGCAAAGCAATCATTTCTTTAAGAGGAGAGAGCGAAGAAAACAAGTCATCCTACTCTTGAAGGCGTAAATGTAATAAAGTCTTAAATGTAATTAACAATTGGTTCATACGTCAGCGTGTGTTCATCTAGATATGAAGCACGCGGAAGTTTGGAGAACACGAAAGATGCGTAAGAGTTGCTCGGCGCATAGCCTCGAGCAACTCTAGCTTCTTGAGTGCTCTCCAAACTTCCCAATTGCTTCATATCTCGATGAACGCACAGCTAACGTATGAACCAATCGTTTTATAAAATTTTCAACCCGATGGTTTAAATGTTGTAAAAGGGTTGATATTCTCTCTGCTACGCTTCAGCGCGTTGATAATTTTTTCAGGAAAATATTTCGCCACGCTGTAAACGATCTTGTCTTCGATTGGTCAAAAAACTGACAGGTGAATCCATGCGTGTAAATGAACTTCATTTTCTAATTGAATACAAAATTCTCAAGGGATTTGTTTGCTGATTTGTTTACTACATTTGGTCCTAAATGTAGTAAGCCTTCAATGGAATCTTTTATCTGCGTTAGAACATTGTCATTTATAGCGGACATTCACACTGAGATGTTAAAGTGACAGCGGTTGCACCAAAGAATCCTTTGACCGATATTTATGGCATATTGCGGGCTCGCTGATGTTAATCAGCGTCTTTTTATTTGCCAGAGAAGTAGGTCGAGGAGCACTGGCTACAAACCCTTATACTGATGTGCTTTTGGCATCAAATTGACAGAAGTCAAAGTAATGAAAATGATGACCAATACCTCTCTTTTTTTATATCATTCGCTCAGACCCTTTAGAGCAACAGATTTTGACGATATACTTGTGTGATCAGTGCTGAAGTTAACACTTTATGAACCAAATTAAAAGGAAAGGAAGTCCACCGACCTATTCGTTAGACAAATTCCGGGCTCGGAAGCGCAATCTTTTTTTGTACTGTCTTCCCTTGCCAGATGTGTATGGGTCTGCATGAAATATATTCATATGTTATATTGACCGAGTGTGAGGTCAAGACGGCTAGATATTGGCCGAGTTCTTTTGTTGCCTTTTCATGGGCCGAGGCAAAGTCGAGGTCCATAAAAACGCAGAAAAAGGCCGAGGTTAATATTCAGCCGTCTCGACCAAATAAGCTTGATCAAGAGAGAACATAAATTCCACGGTCAATCTACAGTTTTTTGTTCATTTTTTGTCTTCACTCTCCTACCCGCCGTGAGGGGAGAAAATGAATAGATAAATAAATACATTAAGAAAAAAAGCTCAACAGTTTCCACTTGTAGTCATATGATACATGAACTGATTACCGAGGTGGAGTGAAGCCATAGAGGGCTAAAAATATAATATCCCAGCTTCAAAATTGAATAAATCAAGATAGTCATTCTTACAAATGAAGTCAAATGCTTCATTAAAATCAAGTGACACTGAATAGCATTGACGTGCAAAATTTTAGTGACACTCTTTATACTAATACTTTTGTTTTGGATTAACAAGCTAAATCATTTAACTTGTTCTAAAATTGTGCAACACTACTGACGACTTTAACACCAACAATAACATCAACGATAGCGGGCTAGTTTATCATCAGTTGTAGTCAGTTTTTTCCTCATAGAATCCTAATGATTACTTACCAATCCAGTCCATCCACTTGAACTTTCAGCCAAGCATTGGCCCACATTGGACTGGAAATTATTTTCCTCAACTCAATCGATAAACCGCTGAGAGACAGATCATACGATTACCGTGCTTGTCATTGAGTTCAGTCGTCGATGACACCCTCCAGATTTTTTTTGTGTGATTGGCAATTTGAGCCGGCGATTTGTGAAGATGTGCTGGTCAGCAGTTTCTTTGCAATCCTGCCTTTTCAATGTAAGTCAGTGAGTGTATAATTTGATGCAGACCCATGTAATACTTTACTCGATAGTCGGATTTATGCATGCATTTCAAGTTCGGATTTGTACATGCATTTCAAGATCAAGAGAAAATAAATGTCCCAACTATGTTCCCTTGGGGAGAAAAATTATTTGTCCCTATTGATATACTCACGAAGATATTCGAAAACTTGAGAGTAACAACTCTCTAGAGTGCTGTCACGAGGTCCGACTTGGGAGACAAAATGTGCCTACTAAAAAGGTCCATTCAGGCAAGGAAAGAAAAATTTATGTCCGAGCCTGCAAATTGTACGACCTACAAGTCAGCGGACCCCTTTGTCCAAGTTTGTATTTTGGATCGCTCTGACGAAGGGTTAACGCTCGAAACGTCAGCCTTTTAACTCTTAACGGTGGCTAATTAACGTCTTCAACTCAGTTGTTAACTCTAAATTACCTGCCATACTCTCCCACCAACGCGGCACCACAGTTTCTCTAGAAACTTACCCCCTTTGTAATTTAGTTTATGACTTGTTAACTCCATCACTGATCACACAAGTATCACGTTATCACAGAAAACAACCGGAAAAACCTTTAAACTCAATGTCAAAACAAGCAATTTTTCTTAATACGATATCAGTATCACATATCTCTCCTTGCTCTTCGTGTAAAATGAGGTATAATCCTCAGCGGCGTAGTCTACACGAAAAGGAGTTTTCTATTATTTTGCGAGCAAGTGACTCTTTAATGGAAAGACCCTCGCAGAGAATCGGTAACTTATGGTGGAATAGAAAACTTTGCTTCCAACGTTTGTGAGAATTCAATGGGGTCGCTAGACGGAGGCTGTTTGTCAAATATCTGGTTTCAGAAAGACGTATGTTAATAATAATTAATAATTATTTCACGCAGTGGAGGTAAATAATTATTTAAGTATATACCACACAAATACAAAAAAATTATTTCTTTCAACATCACGAAAAATGGTCTGAAACAAAACTCTTGACGCGCAATTTTGTCTCAACGGCTGCTCGGAGGTGAATAGTCCTTGTAATTAACTTCCGAACTAGCCAATCAACACGCGCGAAAAGCACTATTCACCGCCGTGGCACATACTAACTTGGTGTAATAGATATAGCTGGCGTTGGTAAACGTATATTAATGGAAAAGCAGTTTTTTCACCAATGGTGGGAAATTTATTTGTTATTAAAACCAATTTCAACTTTTTAAATGCTACCGGAATCATTAAAAATTATATTTCTCTATCAAAGTGCTGTAAGTCTCCTCTTTTTATACCACTGATAAAAAAAAGACTTTCACCGCATCATCGAAATTTCATGCCGCTGTTCGCCGCGTTCCTGACGTCTTCCTTGTACTGTGCTGTTGGAAACATAAAATAGACGCAGTCTGTTACTTTGAGAATACGAGTTAATAAAGCCTCTTAAGAGAGGATGTCAGCATCCATCGAACAAATTTGAAATATTGTGGCAAGTCGCCCAAAATTCGTTTTCTCTCCTATTTTAATTTTTTGTAGCCCAATATGTTCTTATAATTGTGGTGTAGTTTTTTTGCGAAAATATATTTTAGTTTTCGAGAAATGACTTTTTTCGTTCGACCGCTCAAATATGCACATTTTCACCGTGAATATTACCCGAGTTGTGTGACCTCATGTATCGAATGTACTAGACCTACGGTATTTCTGCGAACACAATCCTTTTTTTTATCATCTAAACTTAATCTCCTGTCGTTATTGAAGCTGTCAAAGAAATATTTATTTTTTGGTGAATATTTTTGTCGGACATACTTTTCCTATGTCGAAAAGTAGCATCAAAACAAAGACAGTTGTAACAATGACCGATATGACACAATCTACTGAGCTTCAAGCTTTTAAAAGAGCAAAGGATGGTTATAAAGTTACTATAAAAATTTCCTTGTGTATTTGCGTTGTTCTTTCTTGAGACGAACTCAAAGTCCGGTTAAATTTACTTGATAGCGACTATGAAATGTACATGGTGCGCCTACTTGTCGCCACCCTTAATTGGAATAAATCACTACAATTTGTACAAAAGTCTAACATAACACTCTAATCTTGTTTATTTATGATTTTATTGGCCGTTTCGATTATTATATTACGCCTGGGTATTACTTTTTGAAAGGAGCTCAGGTTTTGCGTTGTGTTTTCCCCTCCCTCATTTATATTATAAGCTAGTCACGCAATAGTTGATACCGACACAAGTGAATATTTACCATTTATAAAGATTTTTGTTTACGTTGAATTGAAAATATTAAAATATGTGCTTTCTTCACTAAGCAGCGAAGCAGTTAAAAGCGGTTGTAGCTTCAACGCTACTGAAATTTTTAGTATTCAGACAGGCGAGCAAAGCGTGATGCTCTGGGAATAAAAACTTTTAAGGGCCTTTTACATGATATCCGAATGAGTTTTGTACAAGAACGAGTTCATACCGGTTGCCACATTATAACCAGCGTAAAATTTATTCGAAATGGGTCATTTCTGAATGAGTTTATTGGGGTTTTTATTACAGAACGAAACACTCATTCTGGACGACCTTTTCTACCTGTACAATGTAAACGCGGCACGGCTCTCATATTTGTATGAATCATCTGAGGGAGCGAGGGAAGCTTTGAAAAAGACAGAAAGGGACATGAAGACTTGTTTTTACAGGCAAATTGTTGCCACTCCCACACGGATAAGACTTAAGCACTTTTTATAATTTTATAGCGGTCGTTTTCGAAATTCCAGGCGCCCACCCCCGCCCTCTTATGTAAAAGGGTCCCCCGGGGGTGCTAATACGTGCAGCACACTTGAAATTTAGCAAGGACAAATTCTGATGTGATTTTGGCGAAGAGAAACATGTTTTGTCAGCGTCTAGTCGCTAGTGCGGAAAGGCCCTTTACCACCGTGTGCATAACTACGCGTTCCCCCAGACGGCGGAGAGCCAACAAAGTGTTCAGACACTACTTCAGAAAACTCCGCCTCTGACTGAATTTTTGTTAGCCTATTGACCAATTCCCAATCGAAACTTAACTCTGACGTCACGCGTAATTTTGCTCACGGTGGTAAGTAGCCTACTTACCGAAGCCAGATTGTATGAATTTTCCAGACATCTTGAGTACTATCTGTGATACAAGCTTGCTAATTCCCCCATCAGCTTTTGGAATCGACTTAACCCTACCTTTACCATGGCCGGAAATTTCGTTTGGCACCCTACATCTGCTATTGTAACCACGATTCCACCCAACACCGAGATTTGATCAGTGAGTGGGGTAATTTGTAAAATCATCGACATCTTATGGCGTCTCGAAGATGGCGGCACGCGACAAAACAAGATCAACTTCATTTTCTGGATCTGAAAACTTGCAACTCCGCAAGTGACATGAAATGTCTTTTTAACAATCACGCAAGGGAACGACTTGGTCTTCTCGATAACTAAACCCACAAGTTCCACCAGCGAACGATTTAGCTAAATAGCAAATCTCCATGTTAGCATGTAAGATGAGACGCTAATAAAACAGATCAGTTAGCTAAATCAGTATGTAGCTTGTCAATCAAATTGACCACTGTAACCATACTTTGACTTCAGCCGGCAAAGGAATCATCGATGTATCTGGACATTTTAGTTTTCTGAATGCAGTAATTCCTAAAAGGTTTTTCTATATGTCATGCAAAGAGGAAAAAAAACCCATCTATTGGTATTTCGGAGGTTGACTTAGGCCTAGTTTATACGTCGCGCTACAGTCGAATTTAATTCAGACGAATTTAATTCCATTAAATTCGTCGTTTCGTCGACATAAATCGTGGCGTGGTTTTATGCGTCGAAATCAATACGGTCGAATTTAATTCTCTTCCCAAATGCAGTGTCTCTGGTCAGAAGTGTCATTTTGAAACAAACATGGCGCGGGCTAAAGCTCTGAAAACAATTTTGCTCGAGAAAATTTCCAGGGAAAGACAACGGCGACGTCAACTACGGCGTAATATGGTTACATTGGTGTTAATGAGGAAGAGGTTTATCGTACGACTTTGTTTGCTGACGTGTTTCCTGTTACAGTCAAGTGAAGATGAAATCAGCGCTCGAAGACCTCGCAGTTGTCGTCGCAGTCATAAAAACACAGGTTGGTGGGAATTGGTCTGGGCGTCCTATGATGAAGGAAGATTTAAGAAAACCTTTCGTGTATCAAGGGATACGTTGAACTTAATTTTGAAGAGTCTTCGACCTGATATTGAGAAAGATTTTGACACAGAACAGCTTGTTTCTGCCGAATGTAGGCTGGTTATATGTCTTTACAGATTAGGTAGAGGTGACTACCTATACACCATTGCGGAACTGTTTGGCCTTGGTGTGACGACTGTTTACAAAATCATAGAGGAAGTATGTGAAGCGATCATAAGAAACCTGTGGAAACCTTCGGTGCAAGCGCATTTTCCAATCACCAAACAGAATATTATGGAGAAAATGGTGGATATGACAGCGTTTTGGCAATTTCCCTGCTGCTGGGGTGCTGTAGATGGGTGCCACATCCCCATTCAGTGCCCTCCTGGCGGTCTGAAAGCCTGTAAAGAGTATCATAACTTTAAGAACTTTTATTCAATAGTATTGATGGCCATTGAAGATGCACAGGATCGTTTCATCTGGGCAAGTGTTGGAAATTCACACGATTCCATCATTTTCCAGTCCATTGATTTGTGGCACAACATTACTGAAAACAACATCATACCATCATTTCTCAAGTCATTGAAGGTACTGAGGTTTACCCGATGATTTTGGGCGATTCTGCTTTCCCATTCAGAGTGTGGTTAATGAAACCATATGGTAATGCTAACCTTACATCTGAAGAGGGCTATTTTAACTATCGTCTAAGCCGCGCAAGAATGGTAACTGAGCGAGCCTATGGACAACTGAAGAGCAGGTGGAGAGTTTTGTATCGAAAGCTAGAATGTAGACCAGATTCGGTGAAACTGGCCGCGCTCGCGTGTATTGTACTTCACAACATCTGCATTACCACAAAGGACAGCCTTCCTGTCCAACTGGCTTTGTCAATTGATCCTTTCACACAAAAGAAAAGGTCCAGAGAAGTAATACGAGATCTGTTGCCGATGCGCAACTGCCTTAAGAGAAAGGATTCATCTCGCAAAGCTGGAGCAATAAGGGAGGCTCTGACCTTGAAAATGTGGCAGGAAAAAGAAGCAAACGAACTGGAAATGTAGACGTGATTAAACCAATTTTTTTGTCATTCATGTCATTTTCAAAGTTCTCCATAGATTATAACAAATAAATCACTTCACATTTCATGTAAACTTCATAAAAGCAACAGTGTGTTGTTCCATAAAATATTCAACGCCCCTGTGAAGTTTTTTGTTAGACCTCAAACTCCCGCTAATTCCAGCAACAGTCTTAAACTTAAGCGTACGCGTGTACTTCAAGAACCTGCTACTTGCCTTCATGCCGGAACGCGAGTTCTACGCTCTTAATCCACGGGGGTAGAAATGAATATTTTGTGGAACTGTCTCAATTTCAACTTAGGCATTACATGTACAAGTCCTGCAAATCGGCATTATATGTAAAACTCGCCTACTCCTCTATTACATTTCTTTTCAGTACACATAACAGAAAAAAGAATCAAATTTGACCAAAGGTATTGAATGTCATGACATTCCTAATACGTTTATTGCATTACTTCTCATCAATGCTTTAAGCGACCCATTTTAAATGCAAGTTAGAAATGCACAGGTCTCGAGTTCATGTTCAAGCAAGCAATGATAGTCATTGGATCAAGGAATACTATTAATATCTGACATTACATTGAATCACTGTATATTTTTCAGACATTACATACAGTACCATGAGATAAACACTGTTATGATGAGAATTACAATACTGTGATTCAGTTGTTATTTCCTTCATTAAAGAAATGTATTGATTCTTTCACCATATTATTTTCCTTTGTTTTCCAACTTTTGTAATATAATTTCAAACAAATTAACAAAGGGTTATAAAAAAACGAACGAAAAGATTCAAAGTGAAACACAACATTTGAATGATTTGTAAACCATAATGTACATTTCAGTAATACACATTATGATATCCTGTTCCTTTCATGTTTTCGAGGGAACAACTTTGAAAGGGTATCTACACTGTCACCAGATGAGATGTATTTAGGCTCATTTATGTGAAGGGTAGCCTTGAGGAGACAGCAGTACTTGTTTTCCATTGCACAAGTTTTTGTTTTGACTACTCATAACCAAAGTAAAGTAAATTAAACAGAGAATTATTGAGGATCGTATCTTGACAATCAAAACATACCAAACTACCTATGGTGGTATCTCAGTGCAAAGAAACTACATGGGAACTCAGGTAATATTATTGATACCTCTGCTGCAAAAAATTAAATAGTTTGGCCTGCACCTGTACATAATTTGCATCCACTTCGGGAAAATTTCCAGGTACACCTTATAAGTTTGCTATCAGCTCATTCAATCAATTATGACAGTTAACGGTACAAAACTTACTGGTCTGACATGATCAGATGTGTTTTCAAAGTGCCTTTAACACCCCCACCCCCACCACCAACTGTTTCCTCCATTTTTCCCTCAAATAAATAGTTGTATTTTTCTGAGCAAAATTCCACTGTTTTGTCTTAATTTGCTTAAGACCTGGATTTTTATAGACAACAACAACGACCAACTTGGACCACAAGAAGCATGGCTCCATTCCTGTTTGACATCACAGACTGCTTTCAAAGAATTTTTGCACTGCAAAGCAGTTTGTGATGTCATGAACAAGGAATAGATCCATGCCCCTCACAGCTTGGTTGTGTTTGAGATAAAAACAGACTTAATTTGCAAATTCTTTGAAAAAACCAATATTTAAACAAAATGCTACACTTCTTGAACCATCATATCAGTGCAATATTGAGATTTCTGCTGGTGGAAAGAGATTATTTGAGTTATTGGCACTTCAAGACCATAGTATAGAAGGTTCTTTTCAAAGCAGTTCCAAAATAACTTTAAAATATTAGAGTGCATGCCAAGACCCTTTCAAAATTGGTACAACTGTGAAACACCAGATTGTCCTTGTGATGTAGGAGAGACTGCTCATCTTTTTTTGGAGCAGATGACATCAATGGTGTGTACCCAAAGGATGGGGTACTTGGGTGACTGCTGCTAGCTCTGGGATTGGACACAGATTGTTGTGCAAAATTATGGCACGTCCATTTTTGCCGCGGGTTTTTCATCTGCCTTTGGCAACTTTGCTCATTATTGTGTCGTGCTCCTCAACGCTCCACTGGGCGATCGAAATAATAATAATAATAAATCAACGTGTCTGCAATGATTTTTCCCGGGAACTCTTGATCCATCGTCATTGACGCCAGTAAGTCCCGTTGTCTTATTGGTTTGCGGTTTCAGGAGGCGAGATAATAGGGACTTTAAGATCCGAGACGCGACGGCTTTTAGAACGCGGTGGCTGATAAAGGACTGGGAACAGAACGCCGTCGTTTGAGCGGGAAAAGTAAAGTTAAGATCCCCATCGCGATGCAAGACGACGCGGCTGCGAATCGCTCTTTATCAGTGTGATTCTTCGGCAATTCTTTCGCAGAAATAGCCATGGTATTATTTAAGATAGTCCAACAAGTGCTTTGTTTGTGTCTAATAGAAGAGATCATAGACGAAGAAGAGTTTGTTCTGCTTTACGAAGCATACAGGCCGAGTAATCTTCCTTTTCCTCACTCGGCGTATGAAAAGTTTTTTGGACAGAAGGAAGGATGCGCAATGCACGAATGTTGGCTGTTTCTGATCTGTATGATGATTTGGAAAATTTTGCTTTCTGTCCAGCTGGAAGAGAAATGTGTTTATATGGTTACCCAGCCTACCCACTTAGGGTCACCTCCAAGCCCCTTTCCGAATTGGGGTTTTAACCAGGCAAATGGAAATGTTTAAGGAAAAAATGAGTGCAGTACGTGAATCTGTAGAGTGGTTATTCGCAGACATCATCAACTATTTCAAATTTCTAGATTTTAAAAAGAATTTAAGTATTAGTAGAAAGAATGTAATTGTCTGCAATTCTACGAAACGCTTCGGTTTATCATTGCTTTCATCTGCTGATGAGTCTCTTTTCTTCGTATCTGACAGCTTCTCTATCGCATTAAGTCTCACATCTTCTGCCTTAGCCCGGTCGTATTGAAGTTTTTTACTACTTGTTCCCTGTGTTTCCTGTAATTCCGCTTCGCCACTTTCCTCCAACGCGATGATCGTATCCAATAGGTTTTCTAATTCCGTTGGCTCATCGGGAGTTATACCAGTTGCTTTTTCCTCGGCTTGAAGTTTCTTCTTATGCTTGTAAACAAGAATTCCCAACTCTGAATTTCGGCACAGAGCATTTGTTCAAGGTGTCTGCTATTTTTTCCCACATGCTGCTTCTTTGTGTGGACCCTTTCTTAGTTGTGTAGGGATGTACATTGACGACTTCTCTGCACAGAATGGCTTCATGGTCATATGTCCAAAACATTACTGAACTAAAAGAAGGTATAAAAACACACAAAGTTTCATAAAATTAAAATAAATAATTCAAGCTTAAACGTGCTAGTTTAGCGGCAGATGAACGCAATAAATCGAGAAATGCAATGGTACAAGAGACGAGGAATGTATGCAGAAGACTCCAGCATTCACTATTTGCAGTTGTGGCTCGTGACTTACTTGGAAGCCTTGCTCGAAGGTGCTACCATTTTATAAGCTTCGTACACCTGAAAGAAATTTTAAAAGAGATCTAAAAATCTAAAAAATTAGAAATTACGTGCAATGATCCTAGATTGCTAATTTTTCATGTTTAGAGGAATACATCATCATTTAATTCAAACACTGGAACGAATATACTCACGTTTTGTACAGAACGTCAAAATTGCCAAACCCACGTTCTCGACGAGACGTGATGCCATCAGGACGACAGCGGGAGCATGCGCAATATGTCACCTCTTTGAAAATTTACTTCCGGCCGCGTCTTAAAGCCTTCGCGTCTCAGATCTTAAAGTCCCTAATCTCCTGGCGTGGCGCGAGTTGTTTGCGAACCTTTATGAGCTAAAAAAAAATCTCGTATTTGATTTTGGGAGGAATACTACCACTTCGAGCGAATTTATAGGGTTTATAGATCTGACCGATTTTAATCAAATTTTGCCAAAATATCCTAGGAATAATGACAAACGAAATGTCGGGAAATTTTGATGTTCGAAATATTTGTCCCGTGGCGTCCATTTGCGCAGCAAGACTCGCATATTATTAGCTTCTTCAACTTCAGATGCAGATATCTACACAGCCAATCAGAAACTTTTTTTGATTGATGCCTTGTGAATGAGAGTGTGCGGCCATTTTTCTCGTGCTGCAGCATCCGATACCCGATAAATTCAATAAAAGAACCTTCGGTCGTTTCACGCCTTACCGGCTCCCAGCACTTCCTTAAAAAAAAAGTCGCTTAAATTGCATTTTTATCGTAATCTGCTTCTATTAAGCTTTCTTCTGATATGTAGTTTGCTGGGATGTTTGTGAAACTAGCGCGCGTACGGTTTTTTTCCCCGAAGGACACGGACACTCGTGAAGGTGGGAAGTAACCTTAACAGTGACGAATGGTGCAAAAAAAAAACTGTCAGACTGAATCGAAAATATCAGCTGCCGATAAGAAGGGGGGAAGAAAATTAAATCCTATAATGAAAAAGAATTATCTTTCGCGAATGCTATGGAATACGTCTAAGGAAATTGTTTTATTATTCTTATTTTTTAATGAAAACGCGATAGGTAGGTCAGTTAAAACGAAAGAAGCCGAAAGATTCAGTTATGCATATGCTGCTTAAATATGGATTTTTATCACTTTATTCATTAGAAGAAGTTTTGCATTTAAATTCGCTATAATAATATGCTTACACTTAATTTTTTTTTAACATGCAAATGATTCTTAGATCATCCATACCAAAAGCAAGTAGGAAAAGTGAATAAATTGTAGTCCAGCCCCTTAATATAAGATCTACACGATCAGGAGCCCATCACGTGATGGGCTCTTGACACGATAAACTTATGATCTCGTAATAGGAAACCATCAGACGGAGAAAACAGATACATTGCAATATGAACAAATGTATGTGGCACTTAGATCTTAATTAAACACTCCATAGTGTTCTCAACGTGCATACCCAATGATTATCCCATCTATTTTCTAAGTAAGGATTTAAATACATACATGCATGTATGCATGCCTATATAAAGTTGCCGTAACAAATCCTCTGTGCGTCTCTATGTGGTCGAATGCCAGTCCCCAATTCAACTTAATAAGTTTCATTTTCGTAGGGGATCAGGTTGTAACTGTATATATATATATATATAGATAGATAGATAGATAGATAGTGTTCAAGCTTTTCTGCTCTAGGAGATAATATGTATGCTACTTGAACGGATCTGAAGAGAGCTGTCCCTGCAGGAGCTCGTCATCGTTTGCATTTGGTAGTTGTCTTGCAAACTTGGTATTCTGCGACCGAGGCCATTACAGTGAAAACATTGCCTGAGGCCGTTTCGGTAGTTCTCGCTAAAAATAAAACAAATGCAAGGATTTACCGCACTCCACGAATGCAGCAGAAAGACAGAAATAAATGGAATAACTGTCTGAAATGCACAAATGGGTGGTGATTCCCAATTCCACAGAAAAATTGTAAGAAATGAATAGATAAGCAGGGGGGTCATGCAGGAAACGAAGGAAATGATAATGGCCATTCCCAATCTGACAATTTTCTTCAGCTGTTGATCTCGATGGTTTTGGCGACAGGATAGTTTCTCTCTAGTTTTTTTGTTCTTTTTTCTCATTTTCCATGCGATAATGCTATACACACCGGCTAAGACACAAACGGGAATGGGGATGAAAGTGATAAAAGTTGCTGCAACAAATCCTCTGTGCGTCTCCATGTGGTCGAATGCCGGTCCCCAATTCAACTTACAATACGTTTCATTTTCGTAGGGGATCAGTTTGAAACTGTAAAAATACGGTGCGTGGACGGCTATGGCGACAAACCACGTGCTTAGAATGCTTATCAATCGTACTTTTGAGGAGATAAGCTTGGCCTTCAGTGGAAAGACGACAGCGATGAGCCTGTCTATTGAGATCAAAAGAAGGCTTCCAATGGAAACCACAAGAGAAACATCTGGGAGAAAGTAGGCAAGTTTGCATAGAATGTTTCCCAGAAGCCACGGACGATCAACTTTCCAGGAACTCGATCCTGAAATGATCTCAACGATCTTCACAGTCATGACGGTCAAAGGGTTGAAGAGGTCGGATACAGCCATGTTGAAAACGAAGTAGTTGATGGATCTTCGTAGCTGCTTGTTCTTGTAAATGACCACAAGAAGAAAGATATTTCCGAAAAACGAAACCAGGAAAATAAATATATAAGCCAGAGCCTTCGCTGTAATCTCTACAGCGGAGTCGGCTGTTATTTCACAAGCTTGGTCGGAATTACTCGAGTCTGTATGGTTGGTTGTCTGTGAGCTGTTTTCAAAGGAATGCCTCACGCTTATGTTGACAGTCATTATCTCCCTTGATACTCGCCAATTCGCGAGTGAGCTATCCAAAGGTTAGATATCTCAACGCTGAGCTTCGATGTAGTCAGTGTTTTGTTCGACCAAAGAATTAAGGATGGGTCCTATTTATCTGAAAAGGCTTTGTCTTGAATGAATTTCAATAGATGAATACAAATAAGCGTGGGTGAAAGTGACAAGGTAATAAATATTGATATTAAAATTGAACTACCCCGCTAAAGAAGCGACTTGCAACGGCCATTTGTTTTAATAGTTACTGTGACGGTTCGTTTACTTATTTGCGATAATTTTGGAACTGGGAGGGGTTTAAGGGCGAAATTGTCGTCCCACGACATACCAATATTGACTTCCATCGAATTAAATGAGAAACGATTTAAGGAGGCGGTTATTTTAATAATTCTAGTCCTTACTTTTTAATTTTTCCCTTAGATCGGTTTTTTAATTTTTTTTTTTTGCTTGGAGCAGAATAGTTTGTAATCACAAGTTATGCTTATTGCTTTGTTTAATTTTTTTCCCTCAAATTTTAAATTTGATTCTTGGTTGTAAAAATACCCTCAAAAATATTCTGCTTAGCGTATTACAGTTGCACTAGAAGAGAATTCGGTAAGAAAAGGCCTCAAAGCCTTCCCCTTGAACAAAAAACAAACCGGACCTTCGGGGAATCTAAAAACAAAACAATTATGGTCGGTCGGCTTGTTTGATTCTGCAGTTTTTTCCAAACAGAACTAAGCAGGGATCTTAAGCAAACCACGACGGCGACGACAACGCGGACATGGAAAAGTAAAAGATCTAATTGGCAAAACAATAGCTCAGCACGTGCGATTTAAAACTTTGTACATTTCTTTGCCGTCCTAAGCAAAACAACAACGTGATATCACCACAATTTGCGTCGTCTGCGAACCGTAACCGCGACGGCAAATTATTTTAATTTCCATTTGGAACTCAACACTTCTTTTATACGTTATGCTGAAGTTGAGGTGTGGCGCCTTATGAGACGGTATACACATGCAGCCATTTTTTAAATTCTAATTGAAGGTGGAAATTCATTTTTCAATCGAAGTCTTGGCGTTGCCGTCCTGACAGCTTAAGGTCTCCAACATAACTTTGGCGATGGTAAAACTTGTCACATTTTGCAACCTACTTCTTTTTCTTTTTGACCACGATAAGCTGATAAATTTACATACTATAGTTATTATTCTTGGTTAGTTATTCAAAAAGTTAACTATCAGGCATGCAAGAGTGTTTGTTTTGCATTAGAAAACAACAGCGAAAAAACTTTGTGAGCTCAATGTCAAAACAAGCAAATTTTCTTAAAACGACATCAGTATCATCTCTCTCTCCTTGGTCTTCGTGTAAAATGAGATCTAATCCACAGCTACGTAATCTACACGAACAAGTGACTTTGTGATGGAAAGACCCTCGCAGAGAATCGATAGCTAAATGGTGGAATAGAAACTTTTGCTTGCAGAGTCTGTGATAATTCACTGAGATCGCTATACGAGGCCGGTTTGTCAAATATCTTGTTTCATGGAGACGTTTATTTAATAATTATTCACCGCAGTGAAGGTGAATGATTCTTTTTGTTTGTTTGTTTTTTTTTTGTCAGAGAGCGCGGTAACAGATCCTACAATCTGATTTGTTCTTGGCGCGGTCCGTGTTATCTCATCTCTGCCCACAGGCATGGTAACGCTTTCGTGAGTCGCTGAGCACATCCTACCTCCGTTCCCATTTTTCATAAATATATCTCGTTTTTCCGACTGGGAAGTTTTTTTAAGCAAAGACTTCGGTCACTACCTCAAGCTAATAAATAACTCATTAATCATCTCTTTTCTTCCTCTCAAATCCCTTTGGTGGACAGAAAAATATTGGTTTCGAAATGAATTTGCATGAACAAAAGTGTCATTAAATTGGTTGAAAAGCGGCCTAAAAACCGTCTGGAATTAATTTTAATCCTTCACAAAAAGTACCTAAAAGGTTAAAACGAGAGGTATTTTGATACTTTCATTCATTTAATATCTGAATTCCCTCAAACAATTTGCTCGTAGTGAAAGGGCGAGCGAAGTTTTCAGTTCTACTACAAATACGCTTTCGGTGAGTCTTTCCAAGTCCTTTAAATTTGGACATTTTTACCGTTAACGACAGAAACTGAAGGAAACGGAGAACGAACCGCATTAAACCCCCCTGTGTTTAGTTGAAGTGTCTTATTCGAATTTAGTTTTTGTGGAGAAAAGAGCAGATTTACACACGTCATTGCAGCAAACAAACGAGCAAACTCTCACAACTTCAAAATAAAAAAATTGAGTTTACTTACAATTACTTTCCTTGCCATCTACTTACTGAACAGAGGTAAAACCTCGTAAATGAATTGATCCTCGATGAGAGTGAATAATACTTTCGAATGGTATGATGACTAATACAACGTGTCATCGCTTACACATTTACTTACCAATCCAAACAAAAATCAGCTCATAGAATCCGAATTCTTATTTTGTCCTGTTACAAACGCTCATTATCATAGAGAAGAGGCGTCTGTGGGGATTGTGATCCAACAACATGCTCTTGACTAGAGTAAAAAAATTGTAGATGACGGGAAATAGAAATATGAAGTCTCAGTAAAGAAACAGGGAAGGAAGAAGCCTTTGAATAAATAGCGAAAAAAAAAAGAAGAGTAAACAAAGAAAAGAAAGAGAGAAAGAAAAAAGGGGCACCAGGGACCCTCTTTGCATTCGTAGCCTCAGGTGCTGTACACGTCATGTGAACTGGTCAATGATTAGTAGCCGAGAAATGTAAAAAATATTGAGCGACATGGCAAAATTCATGCGGTATTTACCTTGCTTTCTCTCGTTGAAGCCTATGATCACCTGTGCATTAATAGTTGTGCAGGCGTGATATGGACCTGAAATTTGAGTATCAAATGAGGCATGTGAGACTAGTTGAGAGTGGGAAAAAATATAACGGTGACGAATGGGGTAGAGAGTGTCACCTTAACTGTCAGACTGAATCGAAGCTATCATCTGCTGATATATATCAACTGATATTGATATTAATGAAAAAAAACAGATTTTCTTTCGCGAACTTTATGGAATAATTCAACTTAACTCAATTTTTTTTTATTTAAACGCAATGGGAAGGTCAGTAAAAAAACGAGCCAAATGGTTCAGTCATACCATGTGCTGCTTGAATATGGGTTTTATCACTTTATTCATTAGGAGGAGTTTTGCATTTAAACTCGCTATAATGATATGCCTACGCTTAAATTTTTTTAAATATGCAAATGATTCTTAGATCATCCATACCAAAAGCAAGTAGGATAAGTGAATAAATTGTAGCCTAGCCCCTCAATATGAGATCTACGCAATAAATGAAATCTTATGATCTCGCAATACGAAAACCATAAGGCGATGAGAACAGAAATATCGCGATATGAAGAAATGTCCTTGTGGTTCATGCGGTTAAATATGTGGGTGAACATGACAAGGTAATCAATATTGATATTAAAAGTGAACTACCCCGTTAAAAGAGCGACTTGCATTGGCCAATTTTTTTTTTACAGTTAATGACGGTTCTTTCGCTAATTTGTGATAGTTGGAACTGGCAGGAGGCTAAAGCTGGAATTGTCGTCCCAGGACATAGCAATATCGACTTACCATTCAAATAACACAAAAGCAGATGAAAGGGAAGCATATGGAAAAACTGATTGAAGACTATTGAAATACAAGTTGTCAAGGAGACCTTGTTTTTCTCGGGTGGTATTCACTATTGTTTTGATATTCCTCAAGTCGAGAATTCTTCGCTTAGGAACTCGTAAAACTCAAGACCATTACAAGTCACACGCATTGCTTTGTTTTATTTTTTTTTACTTTGGGAATTCATTTCGTGGCCTTGATCCTAGTTAGTACATAGAAGTTATTTATGAATCCAACGACAAAACGAACCAGTGCGAAACAATTATATAATTAAGAGGAGAGCTCGAAGAAAACAAGTGATCGTACAACACAAACAGACGCAGACTTCAAGCTGAGACACGTCATTATGATGTAACGACACAAGATAAAGAAGGTAATGCAATGACTGTTAAACTCAAGGGCAGTTTAAGTAGTCAATTAATTGTTATTTTAACATAATAAGATACTGTGTGACACTATATTTCTGATTATCATTTTGATACATTTCCAATTCCTTGTTATTGGCGAAGAACCCATAGGATGATGGGATGTTAATGACCTGAATTTTTTTCAGTCGGGCGAGTGTGCGAGAAATTCACAAAGTCATGGCTGGTTTTCAACTAGCAAAGGGAAATTTCGTCAAGAATCACTTTTAAGAATGTCTCAAATAACCTCTATAAACAGAAGAACAATGCAATGGAATTCATTGTCCGTTTTCGTGGGCAGATCTAAGAGTTTTGAGAGATTCATCTAATCGCCCAGTTGTTACTGGAGGATTTGAAATTACTCGTGTTATAGCTACCCCATTTTTTGATAGCAATTGCAGAACCTAAAAATTATGTCTAATTATAGCGCCCTCGGTATTCACTGTTTGATTTGTAACATTTTGATCTCCACTTAACCCACAGGTTATTGCAAAATGTTCTTGCCTATCAGTATCCAGCACAATTATGAGAAATCTTAAATGACATATATCCATGCGAAATTGGAACGGGGATCTGTCCTTTCATCGATTTAAGGGGGGAGGGACAAGGCTCTGTAATATTCTTACGATCCCCCCTCCCCCTCCATGGTAGTTAATTAACACTCGTTTTTCTTTAATTCCCCTTTTAAACTCTGTTGGCGACGACTGATCTCTAAATGTTAATTAAGAAGCATGGCAGGTTATCAGCAGTAAACTTGAAAACAACAGCTTTTCAAAAACTTCGTCAGCTCTAAATCAATACCAGAAATTTACTGAAAACAATATCAGTGTCATTTTGTCTTGCTTATCTTTTACAATCGTATATTTTTCACCTCAATGTAATCTACAGAGGAAAGATATTCAGTTAACGGACAAGTGACTCTTTGATGCCGAAACCACGGAGAGAATAGACAGCTCAATGGTGGAACGGAAAAACAGCTCCAAAGTTTGGCATTATTTAATAGGGTCGCTATGCGCAGGCTGTTTGTTTGTTTTTACATTATCGAGCATCTGGTTTATATAACACTAGATATAGCTGGCATTGGTAAACGCATAATAATGCAGAAGGGTGTTTTTGCCCAGTTTACAGTGCTCTTGTAGTTGTGATATAGCCGCAATAAAAGAGACCGACTCCATCTCATTTTTATTTTTATTTAGTTTTACACTTTCCTTTCTTTATTTAACGTCACTGAACTTGCAATAATTTCACATTTAATAATGGTGACATGTCGTCGCCGAAACGTCATGTTTTAATCTCAGTAGTTTTTACTATTAAAGGTCGTAATAAAGCCGCAATATGTTTTATTTAAAACACGAACTAATATATCCTCTAAATTTACGTCTTTCGTATTCCAAAAAAATTGGCAGGGGCGAGATAAAAAGGACTAAAAAGCATGATGATAAATGCAACACATCATCGTCCATATATTTATTAATGCATTCAAAGTAAGAATCAGACAAGAACTCCGATCGATAATAAATATATTTTTGGTCCAGCTACAAACGCTCATAATCATAGAGATAATACGTCGCTAGGGCCAACCGGTTACTTGAAATTGTGCTCTTGACTAAAATGAGAAGTTGTAGATCATAGAAAGGGAAATATAAAGTGAGCATGAAAACTAGGGAACGAAGAAGTCTTACGGTTTAAAGCAAAAAGAGACAGCAAACAAAAGAAAGAAACAAAGAAAAACTTGAAAATGGGGTATCGGAACTCCTTTGCATTCGTAGAATAAAGTGGATTGCGTTTCCTATGAAAAAAAACTTATCAGTAATTAGAATCTGAAAATTCCGATGAAGTTTAAAAGCCAAATAAACATAAATTTGGCAAACATGACGTGTTATTTACTTTTATTTCCCCCCGCGGTTTTACCAGTTATTAGACAACTGACAGTTGATCACACGTGTTATGGACCCACACGAAATTTGAGTACATTTTACCACGCTAGTTGATCAAGGTGTCCTCTTGTCGTTTGAATAATAAACAAGAACAGCCACAGTTTCGCCTCTATGTATAACAAGATGATAGTTGGTTTTACAATAAAAGAGGAAATATGAAAATAAAATAGACAAAAATAGGGGAAAAAATTTGGGAGCTCACAATTCAGTTTCGGGAAAAGAGTTCAAATTGGACAAGTTGGACAACTGAGTTGAAGGCAAAAAAACGTATATGTAAGAATAATGAGAAAAAGAGAATCCTCATAAAGTCAGACTGCATCGAAATTGTCTACTTCTGATATCAGCTGACAGTAGACAGAAGGCCAGGAATTAAGCGCCATGAGGAAATAAAGAATCGGTCCATGCTTAGCGTGCATATTTCGAGTTGTGGCTGCACGTAGAAAGTTTGGAGGGCATGAGAGAAGCGAAAGAGTTGCTCGAGGCACAGCCGAAATAAGCTTGAAAGTTTTGAGAACCCGCTGCTAAATTTAACAGGAACTTTCAGTCAAAGTGTAACTGCGCACTTCATGTCGCTGATACACGGCCGTTTTTAAGTAAGGATTACACCATGGTGGCTCCTCAGGGATTAGATAAGACTGAGGAAACGAGGACAAATTGGACAAGTTAGAGGCCAAAACAAAATATATGTATGAGAACAATATGGTAAAAAGTATCCTCATAATCGCCAGACTGAATCGAAGATGTCTACTTCTGACATCAACTGGCGTTAGCCAGAGAGGCCAGAGAGACTGCAATTAAGCGCTGCGAGGAAATAAAGAATTGGTCCATGCTTAGCGTGCGTATATCGAGTTGTAGATGCACACGGGAAGTTTGGAGAGCAAGAGGGAAGCGAAGGAGTAGCTCGAGGCGCAGCCAAATTAAGCTTGAAAGTCTTGAAACCTTGCAGCTAAACTCAACGGGAACTTTCCGCCGAAGTGTAACTGCACGCCGTTATACCATGGTAACTCCTAAAGAATTAGATAGGACTTGCCCGCGCGCTATTTTTTGAAAAATTGATTTTTATGAGAGTAAGCTAAAACGTTCAGTTAAAAGAAAGTCAAATTCTCGGTATTATGATATGCAAATAATAATCATCCCTCATAGCAAGAGTAAAATAAGTGGCTTAATCGTATCTCTGCCGTTAAGATCTGCACGATTGAATCGAACATCTGACTTAGAAAACAGATTCATCGTGACACGAGACTATTGTCCATCCTCGGTGTTACTCTCAAAATCAACTTAACATTGCTAGACATCTGTGTCAAACTTCTAAGTTCGACTTGCATAGTTTACGATATTCTACCAGTTGGACATCGTCATCGCTTTAATTATCAGTTACCACATAACGTTGCAAACTGTCTGAGTCAAACGTTAAGGGTTCGAGGTGCATACCCAATAAAATTACTAATGCTTTTCTGAGTTAGGATTTTAGTAAACAGCGAGCTCAAGCTTTTCTAATGTACGAGATAATGTGTACGCTACTTGAATGGATCTGAAGAGAGCTGTCTCTGTAGGAGCTCGTCATCATTCGCATTCAATAGTTCTCTTGCAAACTTGATAACCTTCGACTGAGACCTCAACGAAAACATTGCCTAAAGCCGTTGCGATAGTCCTTGCTAAAGATAAAACAAATGCAGGGATTAACTGCACTCCACGAATACACCATGAAGACAGAAATAAATGGGATAATTGTTTGAAATGCCCAAATGGGTGGCGATTCCCAATTCCATAGAAAAATTCGAAGAAATAAACAGATAACCAAAAGAATCATGCAGGAAACGAAGAAATGATAATGGCCATTGCCAATCTGACAATTTTCCTTAGCTGGTGATCTCGATGGTTTTGGCGACAAGACAATCGCTCTTTACTTTTATTGTTCTTTTTTCTTATTGTCCATGCGATAATGCCATACACAATAACCAAGAAAACAACGGGAACGAGGATGAAAGCTATAAACGATGCCGTAAAAAATCCATTGTGTGTTTTCAGGTGGTCGAATGCCGGTCCCCAATTCAACTTACAATACGTTTCATTTTCGTAGGGGATCAATTTGAAACTGTAAAAATACGGTGCATGGACGGCGATGGCGACAAACCACGTGCTTAGAATGCTGATCAATCGTACTTTTGAGGAGACAAGTTTGGCCTTCAGTGGAAAGACGACAGCGATGAGCCTGTCTATTGAGATCAAAAGAAGGCTTCCGATGGAAACCACTAAAGAAACATCTGGGAAAAAGTAAGCAAGTTTGCATAGAATATTTGCTAGCAGCCACGGACGGTCAACTTTCCAGGATTCCGATCCTGAAATAACCTTAACGATCTTCATAGTCATGACTGTCGAAGGGTTGAAGAGGTCAGATACAGCCATGTTGAAAACAAAGTAGTTGATGGATCTTCGTAGCTGCTTGTTCTTGCAAATGACCACAAGAATAAAGATATTTCCGAAAAACGAGACTAGGAAAATGAAAATATAGGCCACAGCTTTTCCTGTTATTTCTGCAGCGGAGTCGGACGTCATCTCACAAGCTTGGTATGAGTTATTAGAAGCTGAATGGCTGGTTGTATATGGGCTGTTTTTAGAGAAAATATTCACGGTTGTGTTCATAGTCATAATTGGTTTTGATTATCGTCAATTCACGAGTGTTTTTGTAACAGGAGCACTGAGTTTCGTTTTGAAAGATTAAAGGATGAGTCCTATTTATTTGAGAAGTCGTTCCTTTTTGAAGTTAATTCATTTAAATGAATACAAATAAATGATAAAGAAATACCAATATTTATGGGCAAGCTGACAATTGTGGAACATTAAAGGAAATGCCGCACAATCTTGTTTCGGTGCAATCCAACCCGTGTTAAAGCGACATTTAGTAATTGCAGATATTTTAGCTTCTTTTGATTAACTTACCTTTCTAGTGTGCTTCCATAAAATCGTAAGTTAAGTGATTTATTCCATGAGGCAAGCGGAAGATAATCTCTTGTAGCACTTAATTTGCGTCTTTCCGCTTTATTTCAGTTAAAATCAGCAACTGACGGGTTCGATTCAGTCGGACAGTTTAGGCGACACCCTTTACCATGTTGTATTGATTCTTTGTCACCATCATTTTCCTTTCCACCCCCAACTTGTCTCACATGCCTCGTTTGATAGTCAAATTTCGTCCAGGTCCATATCACGCCTCGACAACTAGTACGGCACAGGTGATATAGGGTTTCAACGGGGGAAGGAAGGGTAAATATCACATGACGTTTGCCAAAGCCATGTTCATTCAGCAACATCGAATGTTGCTCTCAATTTTATTCGAGTTTTCTACACCAATTACTGAACAGTCTTCTCTCAAATGACATGCAAGCTACCTATAAGGCTACGAATCAGAGGGAGTTCCGATACCCATGTTTCTTTTCTCTTTTTTTTTTTTTTTTCTACTCTTCCTTTCTCGCTATAAACTGCAAGTCTTTTTGCTTCCTTGGTTCTTCATTCCAACTTCGTCCATGTATTAACTAATGCACCCAAAGTAAGAATCAGATAAGAAATCCGATAGATAAAATATATTTTTTGTCCTGCTACAAACGCCCATAGTTTAGAGATAGACGTCACTGGGGCCAACCAGTTACTTGAAATTAAGCTCTGGACTAAAATGAAAAGTTGTAGATCATAGAAAGAAAAATATATAGTGAGTATGAAAACCAGGGAAGAAGAAGCCTTGCGGTTTAAAGCGAAAAAGAGAGAGCAAACAAACAAAAAAAGTTGAAAATGGGGCATCGGAACTCCTTGTAACATTTGTAGACGAAGGTGGATTGTGTTTCCGATGAAAAAACTTCTCAGTAATTTGTAACTGCAAATTCTAATGAAATTGAAAAGCCAAATAAACATCAATTTGGCAAATATCACCCACTATTTACTCTTGCTTCCTCAGTTTTCACCAGTTATTAAACAACTGACAGTTGCGTAGAAGTGTTATGGACCTGCACGAATTTTGAGTATATTTGACCACGCTTATTGATCCAGGTGTCGTCTTCTCCTTTGAATAATTGAACAAGAACAGCCCCAGCTTCACCTCTATGCATAACTAGATGATAGTTGGCTCAACAATAAAAGAGGAAATATCAAAATAAAATAGAAAAAAAAAAGAGAAAGAAGTGGAGAACTGATAACTCAGTTTTAGGAAACGAGGTCAACTTAAACAAGGTTTGGAGGTTTAAAAAAAGGAACATATGAGAATAATATGGTAAAGAGTATCCTCATAATCGTCAGAATGGATCGAAGATGTCTACTTCTGATGAAAACAAGAAAATGAAACAGAGAAAACCTTAAAAATGGGGCATCGGAGCTCCTTTGCATTTGTAGAATAAAGTGGATTGCGTTTACTTTGAAAAAAACGTATCAGTAATTAGAAGCTGCAAATTCTAATGAAGTTTAAAAGCCAAATAAACATAAATTTTGCAAACATCACGCGCTATTTACTCTTCCTTCCTCCGTTTTCACTAGTTATTACACAACTGACAGTCACCAAGACGCGTTATGGACCCGCGCGAAATCTGAGTATATTTTACTACGGTAGTTGATCCAGGTGTCCTCTTTTGGTTTGAATAACAGAACAAGAACAGCCCCGGCCTCACCTCTATGCATAACTAAATGATAGTTGTTTCAATAATAAAGGCAGTCGCGGTAGTTCTTGGTAAAGATAAAACAAATGTAGGGATTTACTGAACTCGAAAAATGCGCCATAAAGAGGAAAAAAAAGGGGAAAGCCCTCTGAAGTGCACAAAAGGGTGGCGGTTCTGTGGCATTACCCAGAAAAATTACAATCACGGGAGTCATGCAGGAAACAAAGGAAATTACAATGGAAATTACCAATCTGAAAATTTTCCCCATCTGTTTATCTCAATGGTTTTGGAGACAAGACAATCGCTCTTTACTTTTCTTGCTCTTTTCCCTTATTGTCTATGCGATAATGCTAGGCACAATAGCTAGGACAACAACGGGAATGAGGATGAAAGCTCTAAAAGTTGCTGTGAAAAATCCCTTCTTTGCTTTCATGTGGTCGGATGTCGGTCCCTATTACAAATTACAATACGTCTCATTTTGGTAAGGGATCAGTTTGAAACTGTAGAAATAAGGTGCGTGGAAAGCGATGGCGACAAACCACGTGTTTAGGATGCTGATCAATCTTACTTTTGAGTTTGGCCTTCAGTGGAGAGACAACAGCGAAGAGCCTGTCTATCGAGATCAAAAGAAGGCTTCCGATAGAAACCACAATAGACAATTCTGGGAGAAAGTAGACAAGTTTCATGGATTATTTCCCAGCAGCCACGAACTGTCGAATTTCCAGGATTCTGATCCTGAAATGATCTCAACGATCTTCACAATTATGATGGTCAAAGGGATGAATTGGTCGGATACAGCCATGTTGAAAACGATGTAGTTGATGGATCTTCTTATTTGCTTGTTCTTGTAAATGACAACATGAATAAAGATATTTCCGAAAAACGAAACCAGGAGTCAGCTGTTATTTCACAAGCTTGGTCGGAATTACTCGAGTCTGTATGATTCGTTGTCTGTGAGCTGTTTTCGAAGAAATGTCTTACGGTTGTGTTGACAGTCATTATCTCCCTTAATACTCGTCAATCCACGAGTGAGCTATCCAAAGGTTATATTAAGGATGGTTTGTTTGAACTTCGTTGTAGTCACTGTTTTGTTCGACCAAAGTCTTTAGGATGGGTTCTATTTATCTGAAAAGTCATTTTCGTGAAGTTAATTTCAATAGGTGAATACAAATAAGTGTGGGTGAATATGACAAGGTAATCAATACTGACATTAGAATTGAACTACCCCGCTAGAGGAACGACTTGCATTGGCCATTTCTTTTAAAGGTTAATGACGGTTCGTTCACTAATTTGCGATAATTTTGAAACTGGCAGGGGTTTAAAGGCGGAATTGTCGCCCCACGACATAACAATATCGACTTTTCATTAGAGTAACATAAAAGCAGATGAAAGGGAAAGCAAATGGAAAAACTAATTGAAGACTATTAAAATATAATTTGTCAAGGAGGCCGTATTTTTTTCAAGTGTTACTCATTAATTGTTTTGATATTCCTCAAGTCGGAAATTCTCTGCTAAGGAACACATAAAAATCAAATGATTACAAGCCATGCTCATTGCTTTTTTTTAATTTTTTCTCTCAAAGTTTAAGTTCGAATATCGGTTATAAAAACAACTATAAAAAACACATAATAATAATTTTAAAAATGTACTGTTGGGAGTTTTGGCGCTATATTTTCTTTTATTTAAAATTCTACTGAGGTAGAGACATTTGAATAAAAAGTGGGTGGCATAGGGCCATTGTAAGCGCCATTATTTTAAGTAGCAAGTGTTTAAAACTTGCGGGAATTCATGTCGTGGCCTTGGTCCTAGTTACTGCACATATGCTATTTATAAATCCAAGGACTAAATGAACCGGTGCAAGGCAATCATATAATTAAGAGGAGAGAGCTTAGAAAACAAGTGATCTTACAACAAAAACAGATGCTGAGACGTGACCCCGTCAAACCCAACAGGAGGCATTTGTGCTGTTCCCGTGTAATAATTGCTATTGTATCGCTTGGCTGGCGGCACTCGTGGGCATTATGAAGCAAATCCTGTGCTCCGATTGGCTATCCGAGAGAGCAAGATTGGCCGATCTTGCCCTCTTGGGATTAACCGCTTTGATCCTGCGCAAGGAAAAAATTGCGTGGAGCAGACTCTTTTGGACAACGTCAACGATGAAGTTACAAAAAGCTGCAGAAAACTGATTGAACACTCATGCTACAAACTCAATTGGCATAGTTTCCCTGCTCTTGAAATGCATGAGTAAGTCACTCTTGATTCTTACTACGTAAAGAATTATTTATTGACCAAGCTTCTTCTGTCAAGGTTTAATATTGATCGAGCTAGTTTTTGCCTTTTTACAGACTGAGTCAAAGTCTCGCACTTGGTCAATAAAGCCTATAAATAACTATTTTAATGATCACAGTCAAACCCTAAAAACTATGGAAACTATCAGTTACCTTTTTTCACCTGATGCTTGGTTACCTAATGATTGATATGACTCAATCTGGGTATCTTGATATTGTGATCAAAATTACTTCAAGAAAGGTGTTGTTTACGATTGTAATAGAAACTGAATAAGTTTTACGACTACTGCTCGCAGACTGCTGCTCATTAGTTTAGTGTTAAAAAATTGTTAGGGGAATATCAATTTCTTTTAATTTCTTAATTCTTCTAATTCTTCCTTCTTCAAAACCCTCTTTGGTTGCCAGAAGCTTAATTCGGCTTCTAGTACAAACAATAAGTATTCCAACTCTATTCTGCACATTTTATCCACGAGTTCGGAGTGACACGGCAGTATCACTTTGATTTTTTTTTTTGCGTGTGGGCGGGTGGAATTTCTCAAATACCTGATCCGTTTTGCCTCCGATGGCGAACGAAATGTTCCCATTTAGCAATAACCGTCAAGTTATCAGTTGGGTTGAAGGGGCCTCAGTTAAAGATCCAAGCACAAGCTACTGATGTTCGAAAGAATTTCCGGGATGACAACATGGTTGCATTACTGGGAAAAGAACGGTAATTTTCCTCGCCTATAGGTCTGACGAAATCGTTTTGGATCTTATTCAGGCCTGTATTGTATACAATGTCGTCTAAAAACATCAGCACTCAAAAGTTCAGTTGATCTGTACATGACGCATATTTTAGCAACAGACGGCTGTTGGACGATCTAGTTTGCAGAATATAACTTTTTGATCCGAGAAATGATCAGGTAGTGTTTTGACATCCTAGACTAAGTATACGGCGCCTCTTGTAATTATTAGAACGAGGGTATGTCCCTTGGAGTGAGTTAATCCTCTGACATGCATATGTTGAGTCATGTTCGCCGAATTTTTGCACGATCGTAGTAGAACCCTTATCAAAACAAGAGAAGTTATTTTCTCTAGATAAAATTGAATTTACCCACAGAAAGGGAAATATCAACTTTCTAATTTCATTATTTAAAGAACTGACCCACTGGTTACCTTAACCCTATTTTGTTGCCAGAGGCTCAATTCTGTTTCTTGGGACTACAGGATCATCGGCTTCTAAAACAATAACTAATTATTATAAATCTCTTCTTCAAATTTTATCCACGAGCTCACCATAATGAAACTCTAATTTTAGCACGTAAGCGGGCCGGGTGAAATTCATCAAATGTGTGATCCGTATTGCCACCAGTGGCAAATACAACTTTCCCATCTATTCCTTGAGCCTATGCGGGATGGTTGAAGCTCGACGATTTAGCCTTTCTTTAATTTTCCATTGTGTCCAGAAGCTAGAAATGGTCGGAAGAATTGCCGGCATGACAAAAGTGAGCGACTGTGAAAGAAGGTTGCTACGTGAACGAAGGACAACTGCGAGACTGGACACGTAGGGAAGGAGGGTGATGACGAAACTATTCCCGACTCGAGAAAATTTTGTTTCCCGTGGTTTCATTTAAAATACAACCGCGATATCGAGCGAGGCAACAAAATGACTTTGCTATGCGCTTGGGGCGAATCGAATTCAGGAACAAATGGATCTAGAAATGACCTTTAACTACTTCATCAAACGCAATTATTTGACAGCTAAAAAAAGTTGGCAGATCAAATGTCACACATCATTTTCTTTCAGACAAGATGGCCTAAACCTATCCCTAAATAAATTTTCCGGATACTAAATGCTGGAGAGAAATTGATGCCAAATTTTCATCTGAACACTAAGTTACTTTCTTTATTCCGGCTTCATTTATATAGAAATGTTTTATTTCGATTGATTTACATTGGTCTGGAGACAAATTACTTGTGTTTTACTGATTAACTCTATATGAATAACAGGTTAAACAGACTACAAGAATTAACATCGCTTCCCCTTTATCACGGCAAAAGGAAGCTTATAACACCCTATGGCGTCAGTGTAAATTCCCTACGCGTTTTAACTCTTTTTTCTTCTTTGTTCTTTCATTTTAAAATTCCGTACTTTCTGCTTCTTGTAACTAATACTCTGGACTATTAAGCAAGGAATGTCCTTGCAAAGCTCTTCCTGCTTATCGAAGTTCCGCTCACGAAGCTTTAGTATCACTTTGGTATTTTTTGTTCTACTGCCTAATGGAATTTTCCTTTTCATTTGTCGTTTTTTCGAGAACAGTTTTTAGGCTGACTTCTTCAGTATATGTTCCATTCGATAACTACTGGGCGACCATAAACGCCACTCACAAATGTCTGCTTAGCATGACAAAGAGTCAATTGCTTAAAAAGCACCATTATAATGAGGAAGAGATGCGAACTCCTTTCGGATTCGTAGACTAAGAAAAACAACTTATCAGTAATTAGGAGCTGAAAATTCTAATGAAATTAAAAAGCCAAATGAACATAAATGTGGTAAACATCACGCGCTATTTACTCTTACTTCCCCTCCCCCGTTTTTTTCAGTTATTAAACAGCTAACAGTTGCGTAGACTTGTTATGGACCCGCAAGAAATTTTAACATATTTTACCACGCTAGTTGATCTAGGTGTCCTCTTGTCGTTTGAATAATTGAACAAGAATAGCCCCAGGTTCACCTCTATGTATAGCTAGATGATAGTTGGTTTTACATGAAAAGAGGAAATATGCATGTTTTATATTACTCCATCTCATTTTATTCTTGTTTATTTTTACACTTTCCTTTCTTTCTATAACTTCACTTACAATAATTTTACATTTGATAATGGTGACATGTCGTCGCCGAAACACATCATGGTTAGATCTCGCTAATTTTAATTATTTAAAGTCGTGATGTATATATATCCTCTTAATTTACGTGTTTCATGTTCCAAAGGAAATGGCAGTAGCGAGATATATAGGAATGAAAAGCATGATGATAAATGTAACGCATCATCGTCCATATATTTACTGATACACCCAAAGTACTCATCAGATAAGAACTCCGCTCGATTATAAATGTATTTTTTGTCCTGCTACATTTATGCTTTTGACTGAAATGAAAATTTGTAGATCGTAGAAAAGGAAATGTAAAGTGAGTATAAAAACCAAGGAAGAAGCCTCGCGGTTTAAAGCGAAAAAGAGAGAGCAAACAAAAGAAAGAAACAGAGAAAAACTTAAAAACGGGGCGTCGGAACTATTTTTGGATTCGTAGACTAAGGTGGATTGCATTTCGTATGAAAAAAAGTTATCAGTAATTAGGGGCTGAATATTCTAATGAAGTTTAAAAGCCAAATAAACATAAATTTGGCAAACATTATGCGCCATTTACTCTTACTTTCCCCGTTTTTACCAGTTGTTAAACAACTGACATTTGCGTAGACGTGTTATGGACCCGCGCGAACTTTGAATATATTTTACCACGCTAAATGATTCAGGTGTCCTCTTGTTGTTTGAATGATTGAACAAGAACAGCCCCAGGTTTACCTCTATGCATTACGAGATGATAGTTGGTTCTACAATAAAAGAGGAAATATGAATATGAAATAGACAAAAAAAAAGGGGAAAAAATTGGGGAACTCATAATTTAGTTTTAGGAAACGAGGTCAAATAAGACAACTTAGAGAAGTTGGAGGCAAAAACAATATGTATAAATAAGAAAAATGAGGTAAAAATTATCCCCATAATCGTCAGAATGAATCGAAGACGTCTACTTCTGATATCAACTGACATTAGACAGAAAGATTGGAATTAAGCACTACGAGGCAATAAAGAGTTGGTCCATGCTTAGTGTGCGTACATCGAGTTTTGGATGCACGCGGGAAGTTTGGAGAGCACGAGAGAAGCGAAAGAGTTGCTCGATGCGCAGCCGAAATAAGTCTGAATTTTTAAAACCTCGCAGCTACCTCAACGGGAACTTTCAGCCGAAGTGTGACTACACACGTCATGTTAAGGATACATGACCGTGCGTACGCAAGGATTATACCATGGTAGCTCCTAAAGAATTAGGTAGGACTCGCGCGCTCGCTAACCCCATGGAAAAATACTATCGATTTTCACGAGAGCAAGCAAAAAAGTTCAGTTAAAAAGAAGCGAAAATTTAGAATTATTATAAGCAAACAGTTATTAGATCATCATTCAGGGAAAAAAATAAGAGTGGAATAAGTGACTCAATTGTATCTCTGTCGCTGAGATCTGCACTATGAATCGACCATCTGATGTAGAGAACAAATTTATCGTGACATGAGACTATTTTCCTTTTGGTTCTCGTGGTTAAGCGTGTGGCACTCAGTCCCTCCTCGGCGTTCCTCTTAAAATCAACCTAACATTGTTAGACATCTGTGTTCGAAGTGCACAACTTATGATATTTTACCTGTAGGACGTCGTCATCGCTTTCATTCGGTAATTGTGCACTGCGACTTTAGCCATTGCAATGAAAGCATTGCTTAAGGCCGTCGCGATAGTTCTTGCTAAAGATAAAACAAATGCAGGGATTTAACGCACTCCACGAATACAGAATAAAGACAGAAATAAATGGGAAAACTCTTTGAAGTACACAAAAGGATGGCTGTTCTATGGCATTCCACAGAAAAATTACAATCAAGGGAATCATGCAGGAAACAAAGGATATCATGATGGCCATTGCCAACCTGACAATTTTCCTCAGCTGCTGATCTCGACGGTTTTGGAGACAAGAAAATCGCTCTTTACTTTTCTCGTTCTTTTTTCTTATTTTCCATTTGGTAATGCTATACACAACGGCCAGGAAACAAATGGGAATAGGGATGAAAGCGATGAAAGTTGCCGTAACAAATCCTCTGTGCGTTTTCTTGTGGTCGAATGCCGGTCCCCAGTTCAACAAACAATACGTCTAATTTTCGTAGGGAATCAGTTTGAAGCTGTAGAAATAAGGTGCGTGGACGGCGATGGCGACAAGCCACGTGCTTAGAATGCTGATCAATCGTACTTTTGAGGAGATAAGTTTGGCCATCAGTGGAAAGACGACAGCGATGAGCCTGTCCATCGAGATCAAAAGAAGGCTTCCGATGGAAACCACAAAAGAAACATCTGAGAGAAAGTAGGCAAGTTTGCATAGAATGTTTCCCAGCAGCCACGGACGATCAACTTTCCAGGAACTCGATCCTGAAATGATCTCAACGATCATCACGGTCATGCAGGTCAAAGGGATCCCTTGGTCAGATACAGCCATGTTGAAAACGAAGCAGTTGATGGATCTTCGTAGCTGCTTGTTCTTGTAAATGACCACAAGAATAAAGATATTTCCGATAAACGAAACCAGGAAAATGAAAATAAAAGCCAGTGCTTTAGCTGTGACCTCTACAGCGGAGTCGGCTTTTATTTCACAAGCTTGGTCGGAGTTACTTGATACCGTATGGTTCGTTGTCTGTGAACTGTTTTCGAAGAAATGCCTCACGGTTGTGTTGACAGTCATTATTTCTCTTAATACTCGTCAATCCGTGAGTGGGCTATCCAAAAGTTATATTTAGGATGGTTTGTTTTAGCATCAACGCTGAACTTAATTGTAGTCACTGTTTTGTTTGACCTTAGTGTTAAGGATGGGTCCTATTTATCTAAAAAGTGTTTGTCTTGAAGTTAATTTCATGATCAAACGATGAATACAAATAGGTGTGGATGACATGACAAGGTAATCAATATTGACATTAAAAGTGAACTTCCTCGTTAAAAAGAACAACTTGCATTGGGCATTTGTTTTTTAATTTAATAACCCTGCTTTCACTTATTTGCGATAATTTTGGAATTGGCAGTGGACTAAAGGCGAAATTGTCGTCCCACGACATACAATAACGACTTTCCATTAGAATAACACAAAAGTAAATGAAAGGGAAGCAAATAGAAAAACTAATTAAAGGCTATTAAGATATAATGTGTCAAGGAGACCGTGTTTTTCCTAAAGTAGTACTGTTAATTGTTTTGATCTTTCTCAAGTCGGAAATCCTCAGCTTAGGAACGCATAAAAATTGAAAGAATTACATGTCATGCTCATTGCTTTGTTTAATTTTTTATTTTTTCTCTCAAAGTTTGAGTTGGAATATCGGTTGTAAAAACCAATAAAAAAAATATAATGATTAATGATGATAATAATGATTTTGAAAATGTCCTGTTAGGTGCTCTGGCGCTTTATTTTTGTTGATTTAAAAATTCTACCGAGGTATAGACATTTGAACAAAAATTCGGTGGCATAGGGCCATTGTAGGGGCATTATTCTAAGGAGCCAGTGTTTAAAACTTGCGGGATTTTATTTCGTGGTCTCGGTCCTAGTTAATGCGCAGATTCATGTTATTCATGAAACCAAGGTCAAAACGAACCAATGCAAACAATCATATAATTAAGAGAAGAGCGCGAAGAAAACAGGTGATCATACAACATAAAATGGCTAGTAAGTTTGTCGAATCAAAATCCATTGCGCGAGCGTGCTTCATATTTCTATTGTGCACGCGTGCTTCATTGTCGAGAAACGCACACTACGAACAAATTAAAATCCTTATTATTATTGTTGTTGTTGTGGTATCAGTCATTTCTATTTATAGCACTGATAGAAAGGACTCCCACCGCACCGATATGATCGAAATTTTATGCCGCTTGCCGACATCTCCCTTGTGCTGTGCTATTGGAAAACAAAAATAGACGCAGTTTGTTACTTTGAGAATACGAGGTAATAAAGCCTCTTAATCTCTTAAATTAAGTGTGTTAACATTTAAAAATGTTCTAAACGGAATGACAGGATCGAGATATAAAAAATGGAATAGCATGATGATTAATGCAACGTGTCATTGTCTACACATTTACTAACCTATCCAAACAAGAATCAGCTCAAAGAATCCGAATTCTTATTTTGTCCTGTTACAAACGCTCATTATCATAGGGAAGAGGCATCTGTGGGGATAGTTACGTAACATGCTCTCGACTAGAGTAGAAAATTTTAGATGACGGAAAAGAGAAATATGAAGTCTCATTAAAGAAACAGGGAAGGAAGAAGCCTTTGAATAAATAGTGAAAAATGGAAGAGTAAACAAAAGAAAGAAAGAGAGAGAAAAAAATAGGCATCGACACTCTCTTTGCATTCGTAGCCTCAGGTGCTGTGCATGTCATGTGAAAGAAATGATCGGTAATTAGTAGCCGAGAAAATTAAAAAACATTGAACAACATGAACATGCGTTTGGCAAAAGTCATGTGATGTTTACGCTTCTTCCTTCCTTTGAAGAGTATTATCACTTGTGCAATAATAGTTTTGGAGGCGTGATATGGACCTGCACGAAATCAACTGATACATGCAGTACACGTTGGGTCGTGAAAGAAGTTAACGGCGACGAATATGGTAAAGAGTGTCGCATAAACTGTCAGACTGAATCGAAAATACCAGCTGCTGATAAGATAAGGAGTAAGAAAATGAAACCCTGTAATGAAAAAAATTTCATTCCGCGAAAGTTAGGGAATAAGTCAAATTAAATTAGATCTTTTTTTTACGCAAAAAGCTATAGGAAGGTCAGTTAAGAAAGAAGCCAAAAGGTTCAGTTATACCATATGCTGCTTGAACATAGGTTTTAACACTTTATTCATAAGGAGACGTTTTGTATTTATAGTCGCCATAACGATATGCCTACGTTTTTTTAACATGCAAATGATTCTTAGATCATCCATACAAAACTGCCCACAAATGCAAGTAGGATGTGTTTAAATTGTAGCCTAGCCCTTAAATATAAGATCTACGCAATCAATTAAATCTTATTCACGCAATAGAAAACCATCAAACTGAGAAAACAGATATGTCGTGATACGAGTAAATGTTACAGAGATATCGCGATATGAGCAAATGTTACAGAGATATCGCGATATGAGCAAATGTTCTTTTGGTTCATGTGGTTAAGTGTGTGGCACTTAGACCTTAATTGAACACTGCACAGTGTTCCAATGATTATCCTGTCTATTTTCTGAGTATGGGAATTTAAATACACACATGTATATGTATATAGTGCTAAAGTTTTTCTGCTGTATGAGATTATGTGTATGCTACTTGAATGGGTCGGAAGGGAGCATCGTTTGCATTTGGTAATTGTCTTGCAAACCTGATATTCTGCGATTGAGGCAATTACAATGAAAACATTGCCTAAGGCCGTTGCGGTAGTTCTTGCTAAAGATAAAACAAATGCAGGGATTTACCGCACTCCACGAATGCAAAAGAAAGACAGAAATAAATAGGAGAACTGTCTGAAATGCACAAATGGGTGGGGATTCCCAATTCCACAGAAAATTTGTAAGAAATGAATAGATAAGCAGGGGAGTCATGCAGGAAACGAAGGAAATCATAATGGCCATTGCCAATCTGACAATTTTTCTCAGCTGTTGATCTCGATGGTTTTGGCGACAGGAGAATTTCTCTTTAGTTTTTTTGTTCTTTTTTCTTATTGTCCATGCGATTATGCTATACATACCGGCCAGGACACAAATGGGAAAGAGGATGAAAGTGATAAAAGTTGCCGTAACAAATCCTCTGTGCGTTTTCATATGGTCGAATGCCGGTCCCCAATTCAACTTACAATACGTTTTATTTTCGTGGAGGATCAGTTTGAAACTGTAGAAATAAGGTGCGTGGACGGCGATGGCAACAAACCACGTGCTTAGAATGCTGATCAATCGTACTTTTGAGGAGATAAGTTTGGCCTTCAGTGGAAAGACGACAGCGATGAGCCTGTCTATTGAGATCAAAAGAAGGCTTCCGATGGAAACCACGACAGAAACATCTGGCAGAAAGTAGGCAAGTTTGCATAGAATGTTTCCTAGCAGCCATGGACGATCAACTTTCCAAGAACTCGATCCTGAAATGATCTCAACGATCTTCACAGTCATGATGGTCAAAGGGTTGAAGAGGTCGGATACAGCCATGTTGAAAACGAAGTAGTTGATGGATCTTCGCAGCTGCTTTTTCTTGTAAATAACCACAAGAAGAAAGATATTTCCGAAAAAGGAAATCAGGAAAATGAAAATATAGGCCAGAGCTTTAGCTGTAACCTCTAGAGCGGAGTCGGCTTTTATTTCACAAGCTTGGTCGGAATGATTCGAGGCTGCATGACTAGTTGACTGTGAGCTGTTTTCGAAGAAATGTCTCACGGTTGTTTTGACCGTCATTATCTCCCTTGATACTCGCCAATCCACGAAGGAGCTATCCAAAGGTTATATTTAGGATGGTTTGTTTTAACAGCAACACTGAACTTCGTTGTAGTCACTGTTTTCTTTGACCGAAGTGTTAAGGATGGGTCTTATTTATCTGAAAAGTCTTTGTTTTAAAGTTAATTTCAATAGATGAATACAAATTAGCGTGGGTGAACATGACAAGGTAATCAATATTGACATTAAAAGTGATCTACCCCGCTAAAGGAACGACTTGCGTCGGCCATTTGTTTAAAAAAGTAATGACGGTTCGTTCACTTATTTGCGATAATATTGGAATATGCAGAGGTGTAAAGGCGGAATTGTCGTCTCACGACATAACAATATCGACTTTCCATTAGAATAACACAAAAGAAGATGAAAGGGAAGCAAATTGAAAAACTAAGTGAAGACTATTAAAATATAATTTGTCAAAGAGGCCGTGTTTTTCTCGGGTATTAATCATAATTGTTTTGATATTCCTCAAGTCGGAAATTCTTTGCTTAGGAACACATAAAAATGAAAAAAAATTATAAGTCATGCTCATTGCTTTGTGTGTGTGTGTTTTTTTTTCTTTTTCTTTTTTTCTCAAAGTTTGAGTTTGAATATCGATCGATTGTAAAAACAAATCAAATACACATAAAGTAAATTGAAAAATGTCGCTTTTGGTGTCCCACCACTTTAATTTTGTTGATTTGAAATTTCTACCGAAGTAGAGACATTTGAATAACAAGTCGGTCGCATAACGCCCTTGTAGGCGCCATTATTCTGAGTAGCCAGTGTTTAAAACTTGCGGGAATTCATTTCGTGGCCTTGGTCCTAGTTAATGCACAGATGTTATCTAAGAAACCAATGACTAAACGAGCCTGTGCAAAACAATTATATCTTTAAGAGGAAAGAGGCTGATGGCTGTTTCTACCCTCGCGATTATTTCTGTGGCCGGGATGTTGGTCGGCGTAACGGCGAAGTTCAGTCCTTTATTGAGCAGGGTGGTTTCTGCGTCGCTGAGTGTTCTGGAAGACAGGTTAATGAGCCAGTTTTTTTTGTCAACGTTTGGTGTCGAGGTTGACTCGCTGGCTGCTTTCTGTTCGAGGAGAAGCTTCTCGAATTTTTGTTTCTGTCGCTCTTTGGTTTTGTTAAAGACGCGCTGGATGTTGGTACTGATCTGTTCTTGTAGAGCAGGTAATTTAGGGTTAACAACTGTGTTAAAAACGTCAATGAGCCACCGTAAAGGGTAAAAAAGCGGACGTTTCGAGCGTTAGCTCTTCGTCAAAGCGAATCGCTCTGACGAAGGGCTAACGCCGAAACGCTCGAAACATCAGCTTTTTTACCCTTTACGGTGGCTAATTTACGTTTTCAACTCAGTTGTTAACACTAAATTACCTGCTATACTCTCCCACCGACGCAGCACTACAGTTTCTTTACTCCTTTGTTCTCGTAGAGTCTTCGCATCTTCTTCTGAGAAAGTGGATCTGATATTAGTTTCTTTGGATTCGGCTTCCTTCTTCGCGTCTGTTATGGCTCTCCTTGTCAGTCGTATTCGTTCCCTCAGGATGTTAGTTCTGCGGCTTTTCGGGCGCCTTTGGTGCTTTTGATCTGTACATGGAAGCCTTCGAAGAACAAACCCTAGCTACCGCCCCAGAACCACCGAGAATATGGAAGCACTGTATAGATGACACGTTCACCGTCATGAAACGGCACAACGCGGATAATTTTCTGAGCCACCTCAACCAACAACACCCGTCCATCCGCTTCACCATGGAAACTGAGAATAACAATAGGATCGCCTTTCTCGACACCCTTGTAACAAGAAAGTTGAACATTGAAAGTTCTGTTCTTCTTCAAAATCAAGATGATCTCCATGTAGTTGTGAATAATTATGTGAAAGAACGAGTTGTCACTGTCCGTCCATCTGCGCCCCGGTACACAGTTGAAGTCACTGCTGAGAAGCGGAAACTAAGACAACTTGAACGTAAATGGCGAGCATCAAGACTCCCTGCTGACCGCGTACGTTATGTACACCAATGTAACGTTGTGATCAATCTGATTAAGTCTCTTAAATCGGAGTACTATTCGTCTATTATTAAAGAAAACTCTGGTAATAAAAAAGTTTTGTTCAAAACTGTTCAAAAGCTACTTCAAAAGGCAACTGTTAACTACTATCCACCCTCCAAAAACGACCGTATCCTTGCTGATGAATTTGCTACCTTTTTCACTACTAAGATTGATACACTACATAGTGATCTCTTTGTTAAAAAGAAAGCTCTTATTTATTCTGCTGATTGTGTCACTGATGAGGTACTCACATTGCCTTCGACTAAATTTTCAATTTTTACTGAGATGAAGCTTGATGACATCAGGGAACTAACTGCAACAATGTTCTCGAAGTTCTGTGTCTTGGATCCATTACCATCCTCTGATTATCAAACAATGTATAGATCTATTGCTGCCACTATTGCTAACATCACAACCTCTCTCTTCTTGATGGCTGCATGCTTACGTGTTTGAAATCTGCAGTATTGTCACCCATGCTCAAGAAATCTGATGCAGACTTTTCACAATTTTAGACCTATCTCCAATTTGAAAGCGCTATCAAAGATTATTGAGAAAAGTGTTGCTCTCCAGTTAACCAACTATCTGATGAACAATAACCTACTTGAAAACTGTCAGTCAGCCTATAAAGTTCATCATTCTACTGAAACTGTAATGGTGAAGGTGCAAGATGATATTCTGCTTGCAATTGACAGAAACGAAGCCGTTGTACTACTTATGTTAGATTTATCTGCTGCATTTGACACTGTGTCTCATGAAATACTACTGGATAGGCTGTCTCAATGTTATGGTATAACAGGGTCTGTACTGAAATGGTTTGCATCCTACCTATCATCTCGTACACAATTTGTTCAAATTGAATGCTCAAGATCTTCGTTATGTGTTCTGTACACTTCACCAGTGGCTGATATCATAAAGAGACACAATCTTATGTACCATCTCTATGCTGATGACACTCAGTTTCATGTGTCATTTAAATTAGGAAGTGATGACCTTCTCTCCTCAGTAAAATCTAGAATTAAAATATGTGCACAGGAAATCAACAATTGGATGATTCTTAATGGTCTTAAGCTAAATGAGGAAAAAACCGAGCTGCTTCTACTCAGTTCACGTTATCGGCCCAGTCCCTCATTGGAATTCGTTCGTGTTGGGGGTGAAACTATTCAACCGTCCTCTTCTGTTCGCAGTCTTGGAGTGATATTCGATCCCAGTGCTGATATGGAAGACCACATTAAAAAGATATGCAAAACATGTCATTTCCATCTAACTAATATTAGTAAGATCAGAACATATTTGGATCGTGAATCTGCTGAAGCAATTATTCATGCTTTTGTGACCACTAACTTGGACTATTGTAATGCGATTCTACATGGATTACTTAAAGCTCTCTTAAACCGCCTACAGCTAGTTCAGAATAGGGCAGCGCGCATTGTAACATTCACAAAGAAGTATGACCATATAACTCCCATTTTAATAGATTTACATTGGTTGCCTGTTGAATACCGTATTACTCATAAAATCTCACTGTTAGTATATAAGGCTATCAATGGACTTTCACCAAGTTATATATCCAATTTGCTCAGCTTTTGTACCAGCTCCTACTCTTTGCGTTCTTGTTCGAATAAGTTACTTCAAGTCCCGAGATCTAAGCTTAAGGCTTATGGTGATCGAATATTTTCTATTGCAGGACCTAAACTATGGAACAGCATACCTGCATCTTTAGAAATGCCGATTCCTTGAACTCTTTCAAAAAACACTTAAAGACATATTTAATTCGCCAAGCCTTTTTTGGTTTGTAAATATATTTCTATTTAATTTCCATGCTTATATATGTAGTTGTTAGATTTTTTAGTGTTTTTTTAATACATTTTGTGATATTGTTAAGCGCCTAGAGCAATTAGTGATATAGACGCTGTATAAATAAAGTTATTATTATTATTATTATTATTAATAAGAGAACCAGACGGTAAACTACTCACAAGTGTTTACAGAAAACCCACACACACCGACCAGTGTCTCGCTATGACTCACACCGTCCACAATCTGTTAAACGCGATATTGTCAAGTGTTTGCATGATCGAGCTAAACGCATCATCACCAAGCCATCCAGAACAGCCCAGGAGAAAAACCATTTATCCACAGTTCTCGGTGCCAACGACTACCCTCCGTCCTTCTTACAGAAGGTGACCAAAACCAGGAATCCAACACCTGAGAGGGAAACAACAGAATTCAAGTCTACCGCAGTGCTGTCATATATCAAAGGAGTCTCAGAACCCCTCCACCGCCACCTACAGCAACAAGGAATACGCACCGTCTTTAAATCCGACACCACACTAAGATCTCGGCTGGTCAGACCAAAAGATCCCGCTAACCCAAACAAGGAAGATAGCGTAGTCTGCACGATACCATACACATGCGGCAAAGTCTACATCGGAGAAACAGGACGACCCATGCAAGAAAGAATGAAAGGACACGACAGGGATATACGACTCGCACGCACTCAAAATTCCGCGGTTTCAGAACATGTGAACGGAACCGGACACAAGCCGCTATGGAACGAATCAAAGCTTAGCAAAGCTAATAAATGTTAATGATTTTTTAAAGTCAATTATTAATTTTGGAGTCTGATACCTGTTTCGTGCAATAAATTCAAGAGCAACTTTTTTCATGATCGCAGTCGAACCCTTGAAAGGTTTCTAGGAGCTATCAGTTTTGAATTTGACACTTTATATGCTTTAATTATTGATATTACTCAATATATATCTGTCTATTTCAGTTAGAACTACCATTAAAAGGTATTCTTAACAGTGGTATTATAAATGATATATCAAATCAAGAGAAGTTATTTTCGCACGATAAAATTGAATTTACCCACAGTAAGGGAAATATCAACTTTCTTATTTCATTATTCAGAGTAATAACCCACT